CACCCTGGTGAGCTATCCGGTGCAGGCCGACGTCAATCGCTCAATCGTTACGGACGCAGTGGACGGGATAATGTGCAACTTGCGAGACGTTCGCTATTCGTTTACGACCTGGCTGGCCTACGAGATCCTGCTGGTGCGCTCCACCGGTTGGTGCGCAGTGGTGAGCTGTTACTAACTGACCTTATGCCTGGGGCCTCGGTGTGTGTCCCACAACAGAGCCGAACGCTGGGCGTGGTATCGCTGAAGAAGTCAGATGGAACTGTGGTGCACCCGACTGTGGACTCAGTCAAAGTCGCGCTCAACGATTACTTGAGCTCCGGTTCGGGCCTCGCCTATGATCTGATGCTCCTCGGTACGACGAAGCACGAGCTCTCTTTTGCTCGACTGGCTGCGGCTCACACTCGACCATCGTCATCATCGTCATCAGGTAAAAGCGCAGATGCCTGGCCGATCGCCACGTTTGCGTCGTTCATCTACAGGCAGCGCACGATGAGAGATTGCAAGAACGCTGCCGCCCTGGCCGACTTCATGTACTGGTCCCAGTCCGACGCCAACGCGAGACGGATCGCGACGAGGTACGCATTTTCGCGCCTCCTTCATTTGGCCACCGTGGCCGATCCCGCTGACGTCGCTCTTGACCCAACAGGCAAGGGTTCGTCATGGCGTCGGATGTCCAGGAGCTCGTCAAGCGCATGTACCTGCTGCTCGACGACTTCACCTGCAATGGTGAGCACGTCAGCAGCCTCCACGGCTGCGTCACCACCGGCGGTGAGCTGTGTTCCGGTGCCGGCACCTGCGCCGAGGGCCAGTGCGCGTGCAATAGCGGACGCGAGGGCAAGTACTGCGAGGCATTCACCTCCTCGTCCGATGACAACCGCCTCACTATTCTTCTCGGTACCACCACCTCGCCTTCTCAGATCTGCAAGCCTCCTCCGTCGTGTGCCAAGCAGGCGACTGACAATTGGTGATCTGTGTAGCGACCATCATACCGGTGGGGGCGGTCATTTTGCTGCTACTGCTCGGCTGCATCGCTGCATTGATGGGCGTGATCACGCGTTCGGGCCGCGAAAGCGACGACTGGGAGATCGACTACAACGAGCTCGAAGTCGGCGAGCAGCTGGGCGCGGGCGGCTTCGGTCAGGTGTTCAAGGCCACCTGGAAGGGCACCGAGGTGGCGGTGAAGGTGGTGGCGGCCGACAAGATCTCACGCGAGATGGAGAAGAGCTTCAAGGATGAGGTACGCCTTAAGAGTCTGCGGCTCTTTTCTGAAGGTCTCCATTCCGCTCACTTGTTTAATCATGGATTGCCACCAGGTGAGGGTAATGACGGCGCTGCGACACCCCAACGTGGTGCTGTTCATGGCAGCGTCGACCAAGCCACCCAAGATGTGTATTGTGATGGAGTTCATGGCCCTCGGATCTCTCTTTGACGTACGCACCCAAGCCAACACTCAACACTCTCCACAACCTCAACTGTGCCCAGAGCGACTGATCGCTGTGCGTGGGCCAGTTGCTGCACAACGAGCTGATTCCGGAGCTGCCATTTGCGCTCAAGGCCAAGATGGCCTACCAGGCCTCCAAGGGCATGCACTTCCTCCACTCCTCAGGTACAGCACCACTTCTCTTCATTTCCAGAACTTTTCCCTTGGCGCTCACACGCAGCGAACCCCTATCAGGTATCGTCCACCGCGATTTGAAGTCGCTCAATCTGCTGCTGGACAGCAAGTGGAACGTCAAGGTAAGATCGATCGCTGTCGGCTCACGAGCTTCACACACACACCACACACACACACACACACCACACACACTGACTTTGCTGTGGTCTCTGTATGACAGGTGAGCGACTTTGGGCTGACCAAGTTCAAGGACGATATTGACAAGGGTGGAGGCGCGGACCACCACGTCGGCAGCGTCCACTGGACCGCGCCCGAGATCCTGAACGAGACGCCCGACGTTGATTACGTCCTGGCCGACGTATATAGCTTCGGCATCATCCTCTGGGAACTGTTGACCAGAGAACAGCCCTTCTTCGGCCTCAGGTACCGCATCTCTCGTGTGTGTGCGTGTGCGGTCGTGCGTACGGTTCTAAATCGCGGTTTGGCCAGCCCCGCGGCGGTAGCAGTCGCGGTGATCAGGGACGGGCTCAGGCCACGGATGCCCGCTCCCGAGGAGCAGATGGTGGGCGCGCACCCGGTCGAGTTCGAGGAGCTGATCACGTGCTGCTGGCACACGGACCCTGTCAC